TTGACAAAGATTTCAGGGCATTGCTTAGGATGGGAAAATATCTTGGCAACAGAACTTAATTTTCAGATGTCTATTAAAAAAAAATCTGTTATAGTTACTGATGTTTTTAGTAACACAGACGTATTTGAAATATTGACAATTAAGAATTCTCTAAACTACTTTTTAAATCAATTTTGTGAAAAATTGTACTGCAGTTAGAGAAGATAATAGTTTAATGGGGAAGCTCAACAGATAAAGACTCATTTAATTGCTTTAACAGGAAGGCTCAACGGCTTTGCTTCAAGTTTTTCATGTTTTCAAGTTTATTTAGAATACTGAGTTGAGTGAAATGTTTGCACTACGTAAAATATTTTGCAATACTAAAGTAACCTTGGGAAGCATGTAAAGACTGTATCTTAAATATTTGTGTCATTTAAGATTTTTCAGCAGAAGCTTATTTACTGTTACAAGAAAAATCAGATTTGTAGGCTAGCCTTTACATTTTTTGAAAATTACTGTCGATTAATTGGCACAAGTTTGCATATCTAAGCTGAGTTGGCACTGAGTAAGTAAAAAGCAAAACAATGGCTTAGACCTCAGTGCTTAGGCTTGAGGAGCCCTACCCTCCGGGGGTGGATGGATGGGGCTTTGTGCTACACCTGACTCCCTCTGCTGGACTTGAATGACCAGGACTTGCTTTGTTGCAAGTTGCCACTCGACTCAGCGAGCGCTCCAGATAAACAGAAATTTAATGTTAAATTTAATGATATTTCTGTGCGTGGCAAATGAAGGATGTCGTCTCTGGCCTACATTCTTGCTAATTGTGTGTCATCCCTGGCCTACATTTTTGCTAATTGTGTATCTGTTTTAATTCCATTGTATGTTGGTACTCCTTTACAAGCAGTGGCTAATGCATTATCACTTATCAGCAGCATATTCGATCAATTTCCTTACAGTACATCCAGTACAATCTTCTGAAAATCAGTGCTGCCTTAGGTAACACGGCATCTAACATGAGCAAGTGTAATAATGTCATAAAGCACTGAAGATAATGGGAATTATGCTTGGGGTGGGGGATGGCATTCAGATACTCTAATTTAAATCTTCTGCTACATCCTGCTGCTGGAATGGCCTAGCTATGTTCAGGCGTAGCAGCAAGTGATAAGTTTGTTCTGAAAACAAATATTTTACCAGGCTCTTTCTGAAGATGTTCACTTTCATTTGCTCTATGGGGGCTGTGTTTCCTTTCAAAAATATTCAATCTATTTGGAGTGTTGTGGAGATCCTATGATCTTCATTTTTGTTTTAATTCTTACTGGAACTGATTATAGGTAGCAATGTTTTGCATATCTTAGATAAAGCCATGTAATATGTCTTCTGAAGCAAACTTTCTTGTGATAAAAAAGGGTGGGGGAATAGTCTAAAAAGCATTCCAGAGCAAAAGCCATAGAGATTCCTCATTCATAGAATCATAGAATGAATCGTAGTATCATAGAATGGCCTGGGTTGAAAAGGACCGTAATGATCATCTAACTTCAAGCCCCCTGCCATGGGCAGGGCTGCCAGCCACTAGACCAGGCTGCCCAGAACCTATCTAAGGATCGTTGGGTTAGATCACAACAAAAGGAAATGAGCTATTCACTAAATCCATCTGAAAATACTCTCCAGAAATCCGTCTAAGTTGAACAGTGTGTTTTATATTCCAGTCTCTCCTTTGGAGAAGAGAACTATAAAAGCTATTTGTATGAAAAGACTCAGAACGAGTCAGGCTGTGTCTAACCATCTTCTGATCCTTTGCTCATCTTCAGTGGGGGAACGCATTTTGAGTGCAGAACTTAGCTGATAGATGCTTCTAACGTCTGAAGTAATACAGATTTGCTCTACCGAGAATCCGTAAGACAGAGCAGAGAATTAATCATTTGTCCTCTCTTACACAGGTCTCAGTTCAGACAGAAGTGCTCTGACTTTAGCGTAAAATGGGTACCCTATAAAATGATTAACAGTCTGACTCTTTTTTAGTGCTTTGTTTGCATTTGTGGGGAAAAATAAAAAATAAAAAATTGAGGTGTTACAGTCTTATTTCCCTTAGTGCAACAGTAGTAGTTTTCCATCCCAGAGAGGGATGGAAGGAAAGTTAAATTCCCAGTGAGATGAAGATTGATTCTGTTCTCAGCTTATTTGAAAGGTGAGCAAGAATGTAGTTGGAAAATATTTCATGACTTATTCATAAAATAGTTCTACTTGACCTTTTGTGCTGCTCAGTTTCTGAAGAATTCTGCCTTCATTTTTGTAGCAGATTCCATCATTATTGTCTCCTGCACTTAACAAAAAAAGAGTCTATTAATTACCGCTTACGTTAGGTGTCTCAGGATTTTGTCCAGGTTGATGTGATCTTGATTGTCCTATTAGAAAGGATTTTACACTGACATCAACTTTACAATGAATGAATTAGTGTTTGGTCTGTTTGATTCTTGAAATTCACTTAAAGAAATTTAAACTGGCAGGTCTTCCAAAAAAGAACTTTTGAAAATCCACTTGTTTTTTTCTTTGGAAACTAATGTTTGTTCCCACCTCCTAGAGTACCTAATTCATATTCACAATGCCATTGAAGTTTTATGAATTTATAAAACAGTGCTTACATCACCTCCCTTTATCTTTTATGAACAATTATTTCCTCCTGGTGGTTGCAGCACTGAAGCCTTGCTTTGCAAATCTCTAGGGATGGAATCCTCTCTTGAGTGGAATGACTGGGCAAAAAGAACAAAGATAAAATAGTGGAACTGCAGTGCTATCTAAATCGTTTCTTTTTTAATCAACTGACCTGTGTCAGAGCAGCATGGTTTCTAGAAAGTGAACACTTTAGTTTTGATGTGGTTGATGGTGGAATCTAGCACGGAGATGTACAGAAGCTGGAATGCACTCTTTTATCACATATGCATGTAACTGCATCTCTCAGAAGTGTTCTGTTCTTAAACAGAGAAGAACCAGCGTTCTCATCTTCATTAAGATAAAAAGTGGTTTCAGAGGCCAGGCAACCTTAGATCTATTTGCATGAACATTATTCCTAAGTTCTCTTACTGTGTTAGAGAGAAAAATGTGTGTGATTTCTTCAGCTGCTAATAATATTACTAATAATTATAGATGCTTTTCTGTGGCAGTTCTTGTTTCTTGATATGAAAACATTTTGATCTGTTTAAAGCCTATCATATTAACCTTAATAGGAAATGAGTAGTTTATAATTTGGAAGATAGTGCCTTCAAAAGGAAAAAAAAAAAAAAGCTTTTTTAAACTTCTCAAACACAACTGTAAGAAGCTAAGAAGAGTCTTTTGGAAACTATTTAAGGAATACAGGAAGTGTCCTGCTGTTCAGTGTTTTTCTGGAAATGGGCTTTAATCTTGATTCCATAAAATAGTAAACATGCACGGAGTTTAAAGCAAAGGAGGTCTCTAAACGGTAGAATGCCTTGTGAACAACTGTCAAATTATATTGATGCTAAAATCACTATTAATTACATATAGCTCTAAAGAGATGTAATTTCCCTTCTTAGTAATTTAACAAGCTGTTTTGATCTTGTTCCTCCAGTGGTATGTCAGAACACATTTTCTAGTGTTTGTACGTTATGTATCTTAGACTTTGTGCAAATGTTCTGTGGTTTTCCAATCTTGCAGTAGAGTACTTTGTTGTAATGTTTGATTTTCCAATCTATTTTAAATTGCACAAAAGAATTCCTATGTAAACGTAATTATGTTATCAAGCATTAAAAGGTAAGGAGTGCAAGATATGAGATTATCCTTGCAGTTTAAATGCTTCTCCATTCCAAATTACATGTCATAGTAATGTTCCTTTCTCATCTGAAGTATACTCATAATTCTTTATCCCCATCTGATTTTGTCCTAGACACTTTCCAAATCTCATTTCTAACTATCTTGTCATTTTTCTGCTTGCCCTCTGTATATCCTAGCTTCTCTTTCATGCTGTGTGAGCCCAACAGTTAAGAGCTAAGGAGAGTTTTCTTGTTTCCAACACTGATATTTGAAACTAAAACTGTACTTTTTGGAAAAATCTGCCTCAGCCTGAAGCACGAGCACGTTTAGTAGAACACAATCATTGGGAAAAGCTAGTTTCTTAAAGTATCTCTTAAACATATGCCGAGAGCCTACAGCTTGGGCCGAGTTGGGGCAGCTTTTCAGGAAGACAGGAAATTATTGTGTCACATGTCAAGGTCTTCCTCTAGTAATGTGTTAGATTTTTATTAAAAAATAGAAATGCACACACCTGGGGATGGCTGACATTCATTTTCTGTGAGTTTTTTTAAATTATCTGAGGCAAGTAGCTAGAATGGAGTGTTCCTCTCAAACCATTTATATTTGGCAAAGAGAAATGACTGAACATTGTTTCTTATATGGTGTATGTGGTGTTGGACACTCCTGACTTGTGCACTTTATTACTAACTTCACATCTTACAGGTGTGCAGCAAAAGTAGCTTTGAACACAAAGGCCAGATTCTGTTTTCTAGAATGCTGCCATTCTGTTAATTTATGTAAGATTATGGTGTCAATTGGCATAGAACTTAACCTTCAGTATGTAAAAAAAACTCCAGAAAGTTATGGAAACTTCATTTTTCTGAGCTTTTGGTTTTGGTACTGTCATCTCTCTACCATGATGCTCAAGTTAAAGTATCACATCTGTTTACCACTTCAAACAGCTTTATTTCTTTTTTAAACTGTTGCCTTGTGTTTGGTATGTAATATACTGGATTTTAAAACATTTGTGAAGATGGGAAAATGGCAAAGACCAAGAAGCAATAGCTTTCTTAAGGCATTAACTGAAAGATAATGTTTTATATACTTTTTGGTGCTGGGATTGATTAACTGAAACTGACTGAAGCACTTTTGCAGGTGGTGTTTTTTTGCATGCTAATCCTGCAGAGAAACAAAGTGTTCAACACGGTATGCTGGGTCAGCAAAAACAAGAAAGTTGTGCTGGAAAGACAGTATCCACAGGTATTCAGTGTGTATGGAGATCTGGTAAAATCAGTGATATTTCATATAGCATTGACTGAAATAAGTGTAGTGTTGTGTGTTAGAAAGTAGTTACGCATTTTGTTTCCCAAAGAACTCAATAGTCACCTTTTTGAAGTTTGCAAAGGACTGCAGAGTAAAATGTGCATTAAAATATTGTTAATGTTTTTTTTTTTTATCTGTATTTTGCCTTTTCTTTCAGAACTGAGTGGTTCCTTCTGTGTTACATTCTGCCAATTGTCCAGTCATACACAAATTAAGTATATGCCTGGCCAAGTAAGGAAGGCTTACAAGAGTTGTTTAAAAAAGAAAAAAGGCATTAATACCCAGAGACTGAAGGAATTCTGAGTTGTTTTTTTGTTTTTGTTTTTTAATTTTTTTTTGTAATTTTTAAGCAGATTAGGTGGGAAATGTAATTTTTTCTGATGTTTTCAGTGATTCCTGAGTTCTCCAATGTTGCATGCTATATGTATAGTGAGAACAAACAGAAAGACATACAAAAAGAAGGCAAAAAAGATTGGAATAAACTAAATTTAAATGACCTGTGAAGAAAAGAGAGCCATGAATGAGTGGCAGCCCAGTGGAAGGTGTCCATTCTTCCAGAGGACTCTCCTCAGCATGACTTTGTCAGAAGTTTGATGCATCATTGATTTTTATTGGTATATCATTGGCCAGTCCTATACAGTTTTAAGGTAATGTGGAAGTACGGAAAGCTTATGACATCCTGCAAGTATCAGAGTAATTTGATACTCATGTGTATGAGTGTGGTAACCATTAATCTTTCAACAGAGACTTTTAAAGCAAATGGATTGAATTGCATTTGATTTAACCTTGTACTTAATTATTTAAAAGTGTCTACCTATTGCTCCAACTGGATGCAAAAGCGAAAGACTGAATACACATCAGTTAAAAATGAGATGCACAGCATTCAGATACTGCATTCAATGTGTTCATTTGTTTCCTTTATTTCTAAGAAAGTATAAAAGCTGCTGCTCTGCAATGACAGACCTGTGGACTGTGACTTGTAAAAGGAATGTGTTCTAAAACAAGGGCCATCCTTGAAAGTGCCATCACAGTGCCTCTCATAACTGCCAGTTCCCCTTCTCAGATCCCAGACTTCATTTGCTCAGCTCACAGCTGGCTAGTCCTTGTCAGAAAAGAGTCCTTCTAACTAATGGAAGTACTTTGGGAGATAGAGTGGAATAGAAGTGGAATGACCCTGAAAGATGCGTATTAATTATCCAGGTAGCCTTCTGGAATGGTGGCAGCCAGAGCATATTTAAGTCATTTGACTTTTTCAGTGTCATGGCAGCAAAGACGTGAATAACTTCACCAGTGTCCAAAGTACGTTGAAAGTATGTGTATGTCTAAAGGTTATTGTTGAAACTTCTAGCAAAATATAAATTAAAGAGATAGTTTTGATCATTGATAATACTTGGGTGCTCTGGGAGGGCTCAGTAGAACCTCCAAATTGTGGACTGACTGGGTCCTTTTTGCTGATCAAGATGCTAAATTGTCTTCAATTAGTGTTCCTAGTCCAGATCACAATCTTAGCTGAGTCTGAAAGATCATCAGGGAGCTGCTCTGCATCTAGCCCATCTCTATATTTAGGCACTGGCTAAGCTGCTTAACTGCAGCAGCTGTGTGGGATGAGGAGGAAATATCGAGCTGAGTATCTTTTGCATTCTAGAGGCATGGCAATGAATATTTCTGCACTAAAAGGTCTAATGTAAACTTGGCAAAACAAAACAAATACAACTTGTACTCCAGGCTGCTACCAAACATGGTTAGCCTGGAGAAAGTATTCGTGATAAAATTACATTAAATGGAAAAGGAGCATTTGTATAAAGATCCCTTCTGAGACAGTCGTATCAGTACTTTAGCATTAGGGTAGCTGGAGGAGAAAGAACAATGTTGATCTAAATGGATCTTGTTTCAATCACCATTTTGTGGTTAATTTTTGTGAGAGTCTTGGCCTCTTGAATGGTACTTCTACAATACTGTGAAAATAATGTAGATGGTCCTTCTGTAAGTAAAAGTGATTTTACATCTTGAATTGCAATAGGCAAATCAACATATTTGAGAAGACTGTGCTTATTTTTATACCCAGTACAATGTGTTATTACTGCAAGCATTTGCTTCTAACCTTGAATTAAACATTCCTGATGCTTCAGCTGCCATCTCAGCATCCTTGTAGTGGCATGTCCACTGCAAAATCTGTTTCCTGAGCATTTGCTTCTATTAGTTGGAGAGAAGGTAACCTCCTAACTTGCAGCATGAAGCAGCTCAGTCCTCTAGAAATCTGGTGTTCCTAAAAATTTTATGTAGATCAGTGAGTGAAATTTTGAAAAACGAAGAAGGGAGAGACACAAGGCTGACCTGAAGAGCAAATGGAAACTGCTTATTCTTGCTTACTGTGGCACACTGAATAGCTACTGGTTTGGAAATTTAGTATCCTTAAATGGCAGGCATAATCTGGGGAGTGAGCTCACACTCCATCCCCTAAAAGAAAAATACCCTTGTTCAATAATCTGATGCATTCAGATTGTACAGTTTGACCTGTAACTGGCTTTGAAGTTCAGAGTCTAGTTTGGTTAATATTTAAAATATTTCTCAGAAGCTCTTAAAAATATTGCCTTAAAATCAGCAACAGGAAGATACCATGGAGGGCACAAACAATTCTCAGTGCTCTTAGCAATCCAGCAGTTGAAAAGATCAGGATTTATCTATGTATAGTGATTGGAGGTGGGCAAAATAGAGGTGCTTAGTGAAAAAACAGTGCGTGCTTCTAGCTTTTGGAGCATAAGGAAATAATTTTTACATTTCTGCTCCATCCATGTTGCACAAACTTCTTAGGCCTGGCTTTATTGTTGTATGTAGGAATCTCTTGGTATTTGTGCAGGATTTGCACGTATGCTGTAGTGCAGTCTTCACAGAATATGTTGTTGTGAATACGAGTTGTGAATAATTCTGCAAGCATCAAGCAACAAAGAAAAGTACAGTTGGTGCCCAGTAGATTCACTGAACTGGGGGGAGGATGTACAAGGCAATGTATGATAGACTTGGATTTTGATGCTTCAGATGGCAATAAAGGATCAAAGGACTACGCTCTGTATAGCTGCTCTATAAACATGCTGTAGGTCGAAGGCTTTGAAGAAGCATCAGCCCTACCGTGTATCATCTGTACGGTTTCTGTGCGATTGAGCAGTGAGTCTAATGTGTCCTGAAGGCACTGGATTTATTGCACATGTGCTTACCATGTGTGTGCACGTGCATCTGTCCAGGAGTCTTGGTCATGAAATGCGATAGCTCTGTAACTTCCAGTGCCTGTTGCAAAGTGTGTAAAGTCTGGAAAGAACATCCAGTATTAAAACAAACTTACTGGAGTTTGCAGTGTTGGTAGTCACTCACAGTTACCTCTTTATGTCTGTAACAGTCTGTAACAATGTATAAACACATTCATAATACAGGGTTTAAAAAGGAATAGATACTTCTCTATGGAATTACCTCATTGCCATTGCAATATTTTGGAATTCCAGCATTTATTTTTACATATATTATTCATGTTATCTTTTCTTAAATTTATTTTTTCTTACATCCATCGTTGTTTTTCCAGAATGGTTTTTATATCTGGTATCCTAGCATCTTTGTGATTGAATTGTCAGTGATTGAGATTGCTGGATTATTGTTTCCTTTGTTGTTTGAGAAAACCTATTCCAGTTTCTGTGAACTGGAAGCATCATTAATTGAATTTACTTGAGAGTGGGTAATGAGGCTGTTATATGAAATGGTAACAGTGCAATTTAGCTTTATATTAAGCCTGTTTTTTATAGAGCATGTGAAAGGTCAGTATACATCTCTGCAGCTGAATGTGGCTTTTATTTTATACATCATAGGTTTTCCTTTTTTTTTTTTTTTCTCCTTTTTTTCATTTTCCTTAATTATCTTATTCTCCCTTAAAAACATTTATGACATTTACCAACACAAGTAGAAACAGCAAAGAACTGGAGTTTAACTAAGGCAAATTGCATATTTAAGAAAATAATTGAATAACTTACATCAACATGCAGTTCTGTTGTGCTGTAAAAATGGATGAACGATGTGTGTGATTGGGTTTTTAGCAGTGGTTCATCTTCTCCTAAGTCCTCATCGATTTATTTATTTTTACACATTTGCATGTTTTATTGCAGTTGGTTTTTTGACAGCTTCATTGGCTGTAAGCTGTAGCCTGTGTCTAACAAAACCCACAAATTCTAAGTGGTACGAGAATTTTGAAAGATAGCATGATGTCCTGTTCTTCCAAATCAATACTGAAGCCATGCTAGCACAGCTTTTTGCAAGTAGAAGAGCCTTATGCACACATACGTCCTGAAGTGTCATGTAGCTTGTAATCTAGAATGAAACATACATTTAAAATTAGAATAAAAAATGATTATTTTCTTTTTTGTTTGTTTTTGTTTTGCATGTGAATATTTGCATTGTTTCAGAGAGTAGTTTTGTCTGAGACTTTCGCAGTTCTAAACTTAGTGCTCATTTAAATAACTAATATTTTTAATAGGCTTGTGTTTAATAGTATCCTTTGTAAGCAGTTTTATTTCTGCTGCAGCAGTATAAAAAAAAGAAATACTATTCAGTTTACTATTGTCTGTGTTATTTTATTATTACAGATAAACACAAATCCCCTGTGGACATAATACAAACTTTTCAGAAGAAAAGTCAGTTTAGGACCATTGCTCCAAAAATGGTGCCAAAAGTTTTAACATCTGGAATGGTTTCTTGTCTTCAGTCATCTTTGCCTGAACAACGTACAACGATTTCAGCAGCAGGTTCTAAACCACTGGTGGTACCAACTCAAAACTATGCCATCATGCAGGTTGCTGGGCATCAGGGTAGTTTTTCTCTTTTGGCCTTGCCATACATTACCCCTGCCGTGATACAGCCAAGCCAGCCAACAAACGTGGCCCATTCTGAAAACCAAAAGTTGCCTATCCCTCGCTACCAGTCTGTGAGAAACAAATTGCTTTGTGACAATAAAACAAGCCAGGCCTCTGTTTTGAATACACAGAGCAAGGTATCTACCAAAGGACATATCTCATTGCAGACTTCCCCCGTGACTACCTTAGCTGAAGACTGTCCAAAAACTCATTCTAGCTCAGATTCATCTGAGCCAGTGATGCTAGCAGACCATAATTCATCTGAAATGATGGTTTCTACATTACAAAGAAAGAACACTTGTGTGGAATCTGGATCTCCTTCAGTGAACAAAATAAAAACTGCTATCAGTAATGTTTCTGGACCATCTATAGTTAAGGAGTCTTTAAGCAAGCCAGAAAATTCAAGTAATCCTGTGAAATTCAACCTTGACTCTGTGAAGACAGCATCTGCAACCACAAAAGAGTCAGTCATTATGTCAGAGAAGCTAAAGGGAGCACCCACAAATTCTGCAAATTCTGTTTCTGTCCTGTCACCAGCAGTTTTTGGCAGTACAGTACAGATGGCTCCACCAGCACCAACGGGAAAACTTCCTATTTTGCCTTACTCAAGAATGAAAAATTCAGCGTTTTGTAAATCACAAAGTACTAACGTAAAGGATACCTCCGGTATTTCACCGAGACCTGAATGTGAAAAGACGCCAGCTTTGGTGAAAACCTTTCACGCCCCTGCTGAAGCATCTGATAAACAATTGGCTGCATCTTTGACTCAAGCCCCCAAACAAACCGTTCCGGAAAATACTTTCTCTCCATCCAATAAAGTGGATGTTGACAGCCTTAAAAAGTTGAATGGTGCACCCTCTAAAAGGATAGGCAGGAAGAGAAGAGTCCAAGATGATTTATTGGCTTTTCAGGCCAAGCGAAGGAAATGCATCGTTAATAAATTCAGAGAAGTAAGAGAGAGGGTGAAAGCTGATCTTCAGCCACCTGAAGACAAAAAAGCAGAGGCAGTGAAAAAATACCGTAATATTAGACCCAAACCAGTGGTAGTTGTGCAGGCAATTGCACCGCTGCCTTCTACGGCACTGGTGGAGGAAAGGTCTCCTGACCATTCAGACATAGGTGTTTTTTTAAACAGTTCACTTGCCAGTAAATATTCAAGTTATAAATATAACGATACCACATCAGCTACATCAATTGATGTGGGTAGAAATGTGTGCTCAGCTGTACCCAAGCCATGGCATAGGTGTCATGTATGTAACCATAAGTTCCAGTTCAAACACCATCTTCAGGACCATATGAATGCACACACAAACAAACGACCCTACACTTGTCGAATTTGCCGGAAGGCTTACATTCATTCTGGAAGCCTGAGCACGCATATGAAACTTCATCACAACGAAGGCAAGCCCAAAAAGTTTGTGTGTTGTGAATTCTGTGCTAAGATTTTTGGCCATGCAAAAGTATACTTTGGTCACCTAAGGGAAGTGCACAGGGTTGTTATTAGCACAGAGCCCTCTGGTAGTGAGCAACAGATGCAAGATGCGTTGAGGAACAGGGACACGAATATAAAAGAGGCAGAAGAAGCAACAGAAAGGTGAGTGTTTTCAGTGATCAAAAGCTAAGGAAAATAGATTTCATATTAATTTCATAGAAATTCATAAACATCACCATTATGAAAATTGTTGATTTTTATAGGTATATATTTTCTCTCAAGTAAGATTGATGATAATTTAAATATTTTTTCTAGTGGAATCTAGTCAATGTATTAAACTATCTAGTGTATTGTAGATGATCTATGGAATATAAATTATTACTGACACTGGAATTTCCAAAGTAGTTTTGCGTGTATTCTAGGAATACCCAACTGGCAGTGGAACAGTTTTGATCAGTTGATAGCTTCTGACTGTACCGTATCCACTTTGTGTTTTTTTCCCAGAAGATAAGTGAACCAACTGCAATAAGTGAAAAGCAATTCATATTTCGATATTAGCTTGTAGTTTGTTTACACTATTAAGTATCATTATTCCATTTCCTTCTCTGGAGTGCTGTGAGCTAATCTGTCTTGTGTGCTGATTACCTCTGCTTTTGCTTTTGCTTTGCCAAGTCAAAAAGTTGGTATGCACCATATTGAGATGGATAGAACATTATTTTAATTCTACTCTATGAGTTTGAGGAGAATGTTCTTGGCACAGTAAAATGGTTAGCGTTTTTGCTAACTCCATTGTGCATTTACCTTTAAGTGTGCTTCATTAAGCCCACTGCTTTCACCTGATGCCTCCACACTGCACTGTGTGTGTCTGCTTTGCGTAATTCTTCTTCTGGGGCATCACATAGAGAATTTTTAAGGTACTGAGGCTTAAGAAGTACCAGTACTTTTCTTTCAGCTGTCACTAGTTGTCATACAGTGAATCATTTAGTATATCCATTTTGTTAGGTAATCTGTCCAAAGTGTGTTGATAAATGCATACAAATAAATGACAGTGTGGTCCTTTTTCGAGATGTTGCAAAAGGGGGGATCTGTTGAGTTTCTTTTGATTGGCTTAACTTAAGCCAGGAGCATATTAACTCATACATACATCTGTTTCCTTTCTACTACAGAGCGGTTCTAAATTAGTGAAAGGGGCTGTCCAGTCGTAAATTACCTTTTAAAACTTTTTTAATGCTCTTACAAGCTTTTAGAAAAAGACTGAGATTTGAAGTTTTCCTGGTTCCAGTTCAGAGTGAGAGGTGGGACCTGTGCTTTTGGCTTCATGTCAGTCAGGTGCAAACATGATCGTTTCTGTTAGTAGTCAGCTACTGGAAATGCTTATTTGCAATTCTCTAGCACAGAGCTAGAACAGTTTGAAATGACACCACCAAATTAAGAACTTAAAAAAATGTTATTCGCCTTTTATTAAAAGGTTAGTGGCATTAAAAGATTATTTTTACTGAGATTACTTTGCTATTATGAAGGCAATTAGCCTTACCGTTATTTTATTGGGTTCTGTAGCTGTGCCTAATAAATTGGATGCTGTAGTAACAGTGCCTGTTTTTAATTAAAAGATTGTTTCATAGATGTCATCTTGAAACTTGCGTGGATCATCTCTTTAGTGCACGGCTGGTTCTGAAATAGTTTCTATTTCCTTTTTTTAACAGGGGAAGTAGATGCGATTTTGAAGATCTATTCCATAATCCAGGAGAAGTTAAATTACAGATCAGATGTGGTCAGTGTCAGTTCATTGCACAGTCTTTTGGTGAAATGAAGTTTCACTTGTTATGCTCTCATGGAGAAGAGATCCAGGGAAGAGTAAAGGAAGGAGCTCTGCAAGGAAATAGAGGAACTAGGGGAGAACTTATCAAACATGCAGCTCATTTCTGGAAACAGCGCAGTGAAAGAAGACTCTTGGCAAAATGCAGTGACAACGAGGAGGAGTTGTATACTTTTCCAAAACTGAAAAGACAGATATACCTTCACCATCAAAGTAATGTTGATACATTAACTAAAAGTGAAATGACTCAGTCAGGAAGCAGTGAAGCAGACAAGGGGATGCAAAATGTAGGTTGTGGGGCGCCAAGCAAAAAGATTGAATTTTGGTCTAAAGCTGGATATAACTGCATTTTATGCAAGCAGTTATTTGGAAGAAAGGAGGATCTTTGTAATCATTGGCAAAGTCGTCATAACTGTGAAGACTCTTCTATTTTATGGACAATTTTTAGTTTGTTCTCAAAACAGGGAATTTTTGAACTTTCTAGCATTGGTGAATATTGAGGCTCAGTTCTACAGTGCTGCGTTGATGAACGTGTGAGGAATTTGCAGCAGCAAATACTCAATGCTAATGGTTAAAATGAATAAGATGCTTCAGTTCCATTACACTTTATACACAGAAATAAATCAGTTTATATGAAGTAATCCCAATCTTGAACAAAATGGCAAACCAGATTGAAAGTGTGATTTCAGTCCCGACTGTGCTTCTAGATTTTATGCTAAAACTCTGTAACTGCAGTTCAGTAGAAAATTTTGAAGGTACATACACACAACCTGCATTCCAGAGCATAGTTATCTTTAAAACCCCTTTACATTTTGTTTTCTGAATTTCAGTCTTTTTGGACACTAAGTTTCTTAGGTGTTACGTTCAGTCCTTGTAATAGCAGGGAATTTTGGACTTCATTGTGAAAAATCTACAGTTCTTTTTTTTTTTTTTTCCCAAGCCCTTTGAAAACAAGAGTTTCTCACTACCTGTGGAGATGGAACTCTCAAAGCTTGACTGCTGTATGAAAATGAAAAAAAAGTTGTTTTTAAAAATAGTAATTTGAGCTTGTTACTGCGGGGAAATCTGATGTTCTGCAATAGATCACATGCTTCACTGTGAACTTTAAGCACTTTCCATGTTCCTCCAGTGGCAGCAGCGCTATTGCTGAGAACACCTTAAGCAGCACTCTGCCTTTAACACTCTTGATATCTCTTTTATTTTTGTGTAGTTGGCCCAGACATAGCTGCAATGGGAAATTGTTCCTCTGAGTCTATGATGCAGGTAATAAGGTTTTTTTGCTTGTATTTCCGCATCTACTGTACAGATGAATCCAGAGGCCTTTTCCAGCTGTTCTTTGTGAGCTGAGAAGTCACTGTATCACTCACTGTTCAACAGAAATCAGCATATCAGAAGGAAGACTGAAAAATACATCAGTACTATTTCTAAACTACTGCTCCATTCATTTCTTCTTGTGGTCAAACTGTAATTGAGGGATTGGAGTGATGAAAGAATCATTCCTAAAATGCCTTGCGTGACGTCTCACTGTTTTGCAAAAAAATTTTATGAAGAGATCTAAAAAGTGTTGGGGATTTCAAGGGGAATTCCAGAAGCTGTTGGAATATTTTGTGTATGTTTTTTGTTTTTAAACAGTAAAGGCAGCTTTCTGAGCCAGTGGTTTTGAATGTTGTTTCTTGTACGGTGCTGTGCCTGTATTGGACTACGAGACTGAAGCTGAGAAAAAATAAAAAAGGAAAGGTCTCATAGAAGTGCAGGGCTGCTCGGTGAGGTGGAAGAGTCCCTGTGGATTTTTACAACTTCTTTCTTACTATCAGTTCCATTGAATACACAACTGGTTTGTTCACTGTTTTAGGATAATACTTTGTGTGCTGAACTGCTGTAGGAACACAGTTCTTATGCTTGTGTGAAAAACATGTTTTAATGCATACAATATACTGAGTATAGTTGAAAATGCACTGAAATGAGAGCAGCGCTGACACCGAGTTCCCCCTATGCAGGAACAGCACAAATGATGGCTGGGTAGTCCTTCTAAAATACTTTCCAAAAGTGTCTTTTAAAATGACGCATCAGAGCCAGTGATGTAGATGAGTGATTTGGTGCTACTTTATTTATTTATTTTTTTTTTACCAAGAAGAGTCACTCTCTCATTTCCTTAAAAGAGGGGCTTGCTGTGCTGCTGGGGGAGGTTTGGGACTTAGGAGCCAGTTGTTTTTTTTTTTATTATTTTTATTTAAGTGGAAACTCTCATGTACAATCTTCACTTTCATTATGTTCCTGAACTTCTTTTTCCTTCTGTAGTCCAGGCCAAGCGGGTAAACACAGCCCAGATTTCAGCAATTTAAAGCCTGAAAATATGTTTTAAAGCATAGTTCTAAGCTGCTTCTCGGTGTTCTCATAAATGTTTAAAATTAGAAACCTTTTTTTTCTGAGCCTGAAAGCATTCTTACATTTCAGGCTATTAGGATTATGGTAGATCATGAAAGCTTGGGGTTTTTGAAAATACATCTGTATTTAATGCAGAGCTGTTCTGTGTTTCAAAAATGCGTTTGTTTTGAATTTGAGTTCAGTTTGATAGCATTTGGAAGAACGAAATGAGCCGTATTTACAGTACCATTAGATAGTGCTGTTCAACAGAATGGTCGTCATGAGTGCCGTTTGTTGTTTACCTTCAAGTCGGACAAGGTAACATCTGGCTTTGCACAGGAATTATAGTTTTAAATTGTTAAAATGAATGTTATTGTTTTTGTAGTTTCTTTCCCCTCTGATTTTTTATTAAATCTCTGTTTCAGCTTCGCTCTTAAACTTGAAAGCAGTGTCTCGTATGGAAAATTGTTCCTTCATCATCACACCATAAATAATCAAAGCTGGATGAGTTCCTCTGCTTCTCTGGCTTGCTGAGTATTGCCCTTCTCCAGCTGCAGAGCTGCAGTTTCCTATGGCTAACATATGGCTAACCTATGGCTAACAACTACGCTGCCAGCATGGTTGCTGGCAGTAAATTTTTACTTCATTTATTTATTAGAATTTAGATGTCTGCTGTTTTGTTCCATCAGAGTTTCTGTCATACCTCATTAGATACTTATTTTATCTACTATTCACTGAGCTCCTTAGAGTCAGTGTCATAAGAAGGATGAACAGGTATTTAGGAGACTAGATTTCAACCCTAACTTTGTGCAGCTGATGCTGACGTTTGAGAATCGCCAGCTTATCTAGGCTCAGCCATGTAGTATATTATATTTCTACAACACATCTACCTACATACGCATCTGTTTTTGAAAGAAGTGTATACTTCAGATTCAGCTCATGTCAGTTATGATTACCAAACCTGTACAATGTAGGTTTGCGATTATTATGCATAAAGATTAACACACTGTTGACTATAGTAGGTTGACTTGTCAAGTTCCTTATGGCTCTAAAAATGAAAATCTCTTCATGCTGAGTCTGACACAGAAAAGATCTGTTCTCGTGGAGAAAATTCTCATAGCTTAAAAAGAATGGCAAAGTTTGTCTTCATTTCACTGGGTGGTTTTGTAGCTGATCTCCACTTTTCCTTAAAGTGCCCTAATTTTTCTTTGTTATTGAGACTAAGGAGGACCCAGGCAGGCAAGTGAGTTTCATGAAGATGTTTTGATTTCCTCTCCCCTTGCAGGCAGACACATCTGAGGATCGAATTGTCTGGGTGACCTTGCTGTGCAGGCACAATGCAGGGCAAGATCTGGCTTCAGCGTGTGACTTTGTGGCTGACCTTTCTGCAGTTCCAAAGTTGAAGTTGTGAATTTAAGTGGAAAAAATAGCTTACTTTTCAGACATGAGTGAATTTCTAATTCCTTACTGGCAAACCCTTAAATTCTAAAAGTGACAGTAACATACCTCTATATTTGTGGTTTATTTGGCAATTTTATTTATGTGGCGGTACCAGCAGCATTTTAAAACTTGATAGTTCTGGGGCTGTCAAGTACAAAGGGAGCTTTCTCTGCTTTTTTTACATTTTATTGACTTTCATGTAAGCATTAGAAACGATGGGTTGAACTACGACTTCTGCTGCTGACAAAAACATATACATTATTCTGAAGTTATTTGGCAGAAATTTGCAATTTCATCTAGAATAACAGATTAAGTCAGTGAAAAGAAAATTCTTTCAAAAAAGATACATAAATGAACTGTCCATGTGTGGGTTTCTCTGCACACTGTAATGGATGAAATCTGTGGATGACAGACCTAGTGAATGCCAACCGTTTCCTCTTATCCAGAATTACTAAGAGTGGCCAAGGGAAGTAAGAATTAAAAAATCCCTTGCTGTTCTGACTTGAATTTTATTCAGTATTGCTGCTGTGCCAGTACACATCATGGACCAAGGCATGATATTGAGGCATTTTGTAAGGCACTTGCAGCATTTAGTGTAGTTCAGTGGAAGAAAGGAGAAGCAATGTGCAGAGCGGAGAGTGATGATGGAGAGCAACACAACCCATTGAATGCAGGATGTGTTACTGGCCCTTGGTGACCTGCGTGCATAGAAGTTTCTGCTGTAGCCTGCCTCTGAACTTCTCCCTTTGATGCCTATAATCATGTTGCTTGAGGTATATGAGCCTGTAGCATCCCTGGCTTCCCGGGACACAAGCTCATCCAAACGGCAGAGCTGACTGTATTTGCCCCTCCTTTGGGGGCCTCATTTACAGACTTGGAGTTAGGTGAGCTCCATGCAGGCTGCTAGAGCAGTCCCATCACCTGCCAGTTTACCATGGAAAGCATCTCTCAGCTTTTTTCCAAGAAAGTGAAATCTAAAGCTATGTCCTGCAAAGCAGGAACATGACTTGCTCAGTTTCCTGCAGATACATCACTGACGAGTAGCAGTAGGAAAAAAAAGCTATCTGTAGCTGTAAGAAACAGAAATAGTTGAATGTTATTTGAGGGTTTTAAGTGCCACTGGAAAAAGACAGAATGTCCCATCGGTAACATAGAAGTGTCTCATACAGTTGTGGTAGCATAAAGCAGCAAAGCTGAGATACTGATCTTTTTGCCCCTTTTTCCTTTCCTCTCTCTCTCTTCCTCCTTTTCCTTTTCTCTTTTTAAAGCAGTCTTGCCTTTTCTGCGTCCTCTGTGAACCATTCTGGCTGAACGCAGTTTTGAAATGACTCAACGAAGTCAAATGGTGCCATATATGATGTCTGTGCTGTGGCCGCAGCAGCTGCGCATGGCTTGGCAGGCTGGGGATGTGTGGGGCTGAGGCAGCTGCAGCAAGGCCCGGCAGCCCCATTGCAGCAACCCTGGCCTGCTTGGTGTCTTGGCAAAGAGTTCTGTCAGCGGCGCCGCTGGCCTGTCCCCAGCGGTAGGGCTGCCAGCGTTAATGAGGTGTCAGTGTGGGAGCTGGTATTTTAAGCACCGCTACAAGCAATTTTGTGACATTCGTAAAGAAAGAACCGAACTTGGGATAAAAAATCCCCCCAAGACCAAATAAAGTGATGGTTTCAGCTGGTGATGTTTCAGTAGTGAGAACATGTTTTGGCACGAAACCGCATCCTTTCTGTTGTTGTAGAGCCTGGCCAAGGCCTTTGTATACCTGCACAAAGGGCTCCTACTCAGAGCGCTCTGTGCTTTCTGGGGCTTCGGACTCTCTGCCTTTCGTTCACAGTGAATACACTGCTTTTTTCTACAGTTGATTCAGGATGAAAATAAAGCATTTTATTTCCTGTATGCTAAGTAATTTTGTGCAGCTTCGGGTTTAATCTGACTTCTGAACATATACCCGATCAAGGAGATCAATATAGCTTTCTACAGCTAGAAGCAATAAACGACACAGCAAGGGAGGAAAGCAGTAAATATCCCTTTGACCATACCTTTGAAGCAATGCAATTGCTTTTCAGTGGAAGTTTAATTTCTTCATGTTTTTACTTAAAAGCTTTTATTAATTTTAACTGAAGTAAATACGTTGTGCTTTGCTTTTCAAATCAATCCTTTTACAGCTTGGAGTCCTTGGAGCTTGAATCCTCTCCAGCCATATTCTCCAGCTATCTGCCAATTCCTTGCTAAGTGCAAATCTGACACTGCTGCCAATAAATCCACCTTCATGCTGTTTAAAGTCATCTGCCGTATTTCTGTGAAGCTAATCAAAGTCTGTGAGAAGACATTTTTTGAAGGGGACTGAATTCTGGCCATTTCAATTAAGTAAGTTAATTAAAATTAATAGCAGTGAACTATGAAAGAGAGAAGTGGTACAGTTTGTTTGAACGCTCACTTATTTTTATTCTCTGTTGCTGGAGGAGTTTTCCAGACCAGAACTGATTTTTGCTCTGCTGCTGTTTGTGATGCTCTTCCTGTCCACTTTCAGACTCCTGAATGCAGTGAGCCCCAGCTCTGAGCTGATTCCATCCCTGTGAACGCAAAGCACTGTTTTATTTTTACCTGGTGAGGCAGCTGGCCTGATAAATGGATGGGATGCCAGCACTGCAGGAGACAGCAATGATGTCTGCATGGTTCATGGTCTGCGGTTTTCCAGGAGCAGATTTTCCAATCTCTTTACACGCACGCATGCGCCTCCAAACACAAACTTACAAAGGATTGGGTCTGTGGAACATTTTTGAGGGGCTTGGTAGAGCCTTACTGTACACTCTGTACTCCAGTTATTTTTTATTAAGTGCACTAGCAGTGTGATTATT